GGAAATCTGGTTAATTTCAATCTGACTTAAGGGAAGTAGAATCCTACGGCTACAAAGCGGGATTTGTGCATTCGTGCCATTTTTCTTGAGCCAACAGCAAGAGCAAAGGTCACGCTCTTTTAGCTTAACATAATGCTTTATCACAGACTGGAAATTGTCTATAGGGGAAAACCGGTGATATTGAATAAAAAAGTAAACTGAATGAAAATAATGCTTAAACAACAGGTAAGATACGTATCATTTTCTAAAAAACTTCTGTAGCAATCTAAGAGCTTAAGATCCACAACAACAAAATTTACTTAATAAAGATGATAAAGTTGCCAGATCTGTTCTACTAAAGAAAATAGAGACATTAATTTAGAGGAACTGCTCGACATAAAGATTGATTAACAATGAGAAAAACCTGACAATAACCAAATCAAGCTTTTCCTGGCAACTAGTTCAACTTCCCTAGCATTCCTATTATCAGCTATCAAAAGCACATAAGAGCATTACTAGTGATTTTTTTATCTATATATATAGAAAGTTTTTTTTTTCCTGATAGTATCATTTATGATTGGCTCATGCATCAACAGAATAAGGAAAAAGATAATGTTTACCATACTAATCTGCCCATTATCATATGAGCTCATTGTCTTCTCCATGTTTGTCTTGAAGCTCCACCGCAAAATTGACATCAAGGAGCTTCCAGAAACAATTTCAAGATTTGGCAAAGATCTGCCCAGGGATACAAACGTATTAATCAACATAACAAGATACTTCACAAAATTTTAAGAGGTGCATGTAAAGCAATATAAAAAAAGGGCAAGAGAAGCGAATGCTACCAAATCCCCATATTCCGTTTCCAAGGAATTACAAAAATCTAATAATTACAAACAATTGTGACGTAGAATATCTAGGAAAAGAGAGGAGAGGAAGAAGAGATGTGATAAAAAAAGAAAGCCTGAGGATTAGATTAGAAAGGAAACAAGTTCAATTCGTTGCAATCAATGTTTAAAATTAAGCAATTGGATATTGAGGCGTTTTTTGTTCATGGGAGAGGCGTAAGCCTCAAGGCATTTTGAGGTGTGAGCTTCAAAATAAAAAATTGCATGAAGTATAAATAAAGGTTAAAAGTAATTTTTTTATATAATACCCAAATAACAAGGTAAAAGATGACATATTATCCTTCTATTGAACTATTGAGTAGCACATTGAAATACATATGAAACAAAAAAATGCACAAGACGTAAAGTGGCTAATAATAAATTGCATGAAATATAATTGAAATACAAATATTCATGAGCAAAAAAAAAATTAAATTTAGAAACTGCTTAAATGTATCATATAACATTAAATTCAACTCCAAATTCATTATTTCTCAGTTCCATGCTTATCTACAATTAATTTCTAAAAAAGGATAAATTAGATGGCAGCAACTAGAAAATGATTTGTTCCATCATCACTGAGGGGATTTTTATTTGAGTAGTTATTATAACATGGTCCCTTTCCTGTCTCATTCTTTGGAGTCTGATGCCTCCAAATATGCTTCTTCTTTATTTATTTTAGTCATCTTCCTCTTTCATAAATGCTTTTCAGCAACATAAAGATAAGATTAATACTCCGAAATTTTTAGAGGAGGTGGTGGTGTGCTGCTTTCAAGTGATCCTTGACGGCCGCTACGATTGTGGTGGCTATGGCGAAGGCAGCATGATGGAGGTTGAGACAGTCGAGAGGAATTTGTTGCGACTTGGGGGTACATGAAAGTATAATTTTTTCAGGGTTTTACTTTAGGATTTATGTAAGTTTTAATAAAAAATATATAAATAGGAGGGGTAAGCCTCACGCTAGCGAGTCGAGGGGGACCTCCAACCCAGCTGAGGCACAAGCTCATTAAAAAAACTCGAAGTGTAAGCCTCAAGGCATTTTTCACTGGAATTGTGCTCAAGCGGGCCTTAATACGAGCCTCATATTGCGGAATTTTAAACAATGGTTGCAATCATCAATAATGAAACCCTACAGTACAAAGGATCATTAAATAAAGGAGCCCTTCCATTACTATGAAAAGGTCCAAACAAATCAGGAAATTGCAAATACAACAAGAAATTGTTGTTGTGAAAATTCTTGGATGGAAGATCACTTCTTGGCAGCTACAAGAATAGCCTTAGAAAGAAGAGAGGGAGAATCAAAAGGGAGAGGAAGAGAGCTCACAAATCTTTATTGATTCATTCTATCGGGATCACACCTTACATCAACCCAACTATATATAGACATTGACACTGGTGTGGTGTCTTGCAAAACAACTCTAACCTAAAATTGGGGACCAAATATTAACAATCTCCACCTTGGTCCAATCTTACAATGTATAACAAGGCAAAAAACCTCCATCAAGCTGTCACATGCTTCTTATCCACCTGATGTTCACAAAGAACTGCTAAGAAAAGCCTTCCCGTTGGTTGCCTCTTCTTCCTCAAACTCTAACCTAAAACTGAGCCCAAGTCTGCTGCGACGTCCTGGCTCCATCTCCTCTTCCAATCACACGTGAGCCCATCTCCCGTGCCTGGTCCAAACTCCCGCACAATCTCTACCCTCATGCGACCTTTCTCTCATTCGGCTTGCCTCTCAAAACCCAGGCCCGTCTCCCACGCTCTTGCACCTAGCCTGGATTCCCGCATGGCACTAGCTCTCGTGCTTATCTCAGACTCCAGCAAGGTACCAACTCTAGCGCTCCTGCGGCTGAACCGGCCACGGCAGCCTCTGCCGATCACGCTCGCGCCTTGGCGCGCTCCTTCCTTTGTGATTTCAAAGAACAACCTGCACATTGTTTGCCACTGCTAGTCCTCTCAACCGTCAACAAGATGTTATCCGTATAAAAACCACTAGCCCTTTGTGATCTGCAATAAACATCAACAAAATACACCAACTTCTGCCCCCTGCAATCAGTTGTGCTCAAGATTTGCCTTCTACTGCAAACAATTTCAGCAAACAGAGGCTTCAATAACGAAAGACCAGTGGCTCAATAGCACCAATTTCTCCGATCTGCAATGTTCAAAAACTGAACACGGGTGTTGTCTACAACACCAATTTTAGCAGTTAAAGACCTGCTTCTTAAAGACTAGTTGTCTCACCATCAATCTAGTTCTATTTCAAAGAACCAAAATCAATTTTCCAACAAAATAGTTTTACAAATTGCCTGCGCAGAATTTACCCGCAGCTAAGCTATCAACAAACCAGGATCCGAACCTAGACGACTTCCATCCAGCCTCCGCGTGCTCATTCCTGCATGCATTCACGCGCGCTGTGCATGAGCCTGTAACGCACGTGCATCCTCCCGCGTCCCAACCTAGCTCCCTCCCTCGAACTCGCCTTTCGAGGTTGACTCGCTCAAGCTGGAGTTCAAGCTTGCATTCTGACTGACAAGCCGAGCTTGATAGTGCCATTAGTAGACTCGACTCCTTTACACCCCTAGTGCCTTCTATCCAATCCGCATGCCTTGCCTCCATTGCCCAACTCCCACGTGCGACTGGTCTAGCTAACGTTCACAACTCCCACACAGCCGACTCCGCCACTCATGATCTCACTACGCCCATTGTGTAACCTCCCCTCTTCTTTTCTTTATTACAAGAATCAACTTCCTCCTTCCTCTTGATCTTGCTTGACCAAGCAATGATACAGATTGTTGTTAGAATTCTTGAAGGGAAGATCGCTTCCTAGTTGCAACAAGAACAACCTTAGAAAGAAGAGATGGAGAATCGAGAGGGAGAGGAAGAGAGCTCACAAATCTTTATTGGTTTGTTCTATCGAGATCATACCCTACATCAACCACTGAATTATATATAGACATTGACACTAATGGTGTTAAGACTTGACCCGATTCGAAACTCGACGGGACCTGAACCAAAAAATTCTGGATTTGAGTCATCCCATTTATCATATAGATCGGATTCGGGCTCAATAAGAAGTCACGTTTCAAAAATTAGGTTGGGTTCGAGTTGACCCAGAAGCCCAACAGTGACCTGAGAACCCTCACGTTTTAGTTGTTGGGTCGAGTTCGGTTTTAATTAAATGCCTTATTCGTCTTCGCATGGGTGTGGCCATCCATTCTCTGATTCTTTTCTCTAGTCCAGTCAGTGTGTCAACTTCGTTCTTAGTTCTTTGTTGTTCTCTTCTCGACTTCGTCTGTTTCCCTCTTTGCTCTTGGCCATTGCTCAGTTTCTCTTGTTGGTTACACAATCTACAGTTGTCGGTGCATAAAGGCAACATCTCAGTGAAAATATAACATTTATTTGTATCTTTAATATCTTTCCCTACTTAAGGTTTTCTACTATTTTCGTGTTGATGGATTTGGAGGTTATTAGGAGTCTGGGATTCATGTTTTCTCACCTCATCTTCCAATTTACACAAACATTCTTTAAAAATCGTAGGGTTTTTTAAATTAGGGTTTTCAAAAATAGGTTTTCCATTTTTTTAAATTATTTTCAAATTTTTATGGTATAGGGTTCGGTTCATATTACTTTTGTTACTCTACAAGCTGTTGTTAGAAACTTCTCTTCAAGTTTAGTTTAAATTTTAGAGTGAAATGGTGAATTTGTGGCTCTGTGCTGACTTCTGCAGTGTTATTGTATGCTTCGGTAGTTCTGTCATATTTTTATTTAAGTTCTATGTAGTTATGTGGTTGTGGTAGTTCTATGGTATGCTTCTGTAGTTATGTAGTTTTGTAATTCTCAATTTCCGTCATCTATGATATTTTCAATTTACTGCTCCAGCGCTCCACTGTTACTCAACTGCTATGTTTATTTAGGGTCATTAAGCATTCAACTTTGGTTATCAGTGGACAGTGGCTTAGTGCAATTATAAGTTTAATTTACCCAATTCACAGTTTAATAATGTGATGAAGGCTAACAAATCTTCTTGTTGCCTTGTTGGTCCACTGGTTGTCTGGATGACTGGTTCAATGCAATTATTTGCAATTATTAATGCATAGTTTAGTGTTTCAGTGCAATTTTATGTTTATGAGTGCCTTGGTTCATTGGTTCAGTGCATAATGTTAGCAGACTTTTGGTTAAATGCTACATAATCTTTAGTTGTTCAAATGTTATTACTATTTATAACTAATAATTAATAACTATGTTAAATTTCATTTGTTAGATGGAAGACTCTAATACTGTTGTTGACAGTACTCCTATTCTTGAAAATGTACATGTTATTAATGAAGGAAATGAAGTTAAAATAGACACTGATTATATCGATGATGTTGATATTTGTGATGACGATGCTAAATAAAATGTACTTAGGAAAACAAGAAGGATGACTTCAACTGTATGCGGTCATTATGTGATGTTACCTCTAACTATTGATGGTAGACAAAGATGCAAATGCAAAAAATGTGGTCAAACTTACCAATGTGATAGTAAGAATGGGACTAACAACTTAAAATGTCATTTGCAAGTTTGTAAGAACAGAAGTACCCGTGATATTGGCAAGTTAATTTTGCAATCGAGTTCTAGCTCACATATTTCCTTAACCAACAATAAATTTGACAATCAATAATTTTATGATTTATTCACTGTTGCCATTATCATGTATGATCTACCATTTCAGTGTGTTAAATGGGTTGGTGTATGTACATTATTTCATCATCTCTACCCAGACCTACAAGTAGTGTCTAGAAACACATCTAGAAGTGATTGTAAAATGATGTTCATTAGGAAGAAAGCCATTATTCAATCAACCTTGAGTAGATGTACTAATAGAGTTTGCTTGACTTCAGATCTTTGGATTTCTATCAACACTGATGATTTGATTGTACATTTCATTGATAATAACTGGCAACTACAAAATAAGATTAATAATTTGGTTTTATGCCACCTCCACATGATGGGATTGCATTGTTTGAGAAGGCTTCAATCTTTTCTTAACGAATGGAACATTTAGAAAAAACTTTTTCTATAACTCTTGATAATGCTTCAACTAATCATGTTTCAGTGAACTTTTTATGGAATCATTTGAACTTGAGAGGCATTTTGCTATGCAATGGTGAGTTCTTACATATTCAATGTTGTTCTCATATAGTAAACCTTATCGTGCAGGAAGAGATGAAAGAGATAGATGTTTCTATCTCTAAGATTAGGGAGAGCATAAAGTTGTGCAAGACATAGTTGTCTTGATTAAAAGAGGGAATTGAGGCAAGACATTCGAACTAGACAGAACTCAACTTTCATAATGCTTGATTCGGCTATTTATTATAAATGTGCTTTCTTCCATTTAGAGTTGGTTGAGTCAAATAACAAATGATGTAAACAAAAATATAGGGGGCCCTATATTTTTTCTTGACAAAATAATTGTTTTCCTAAATAACTAGGAAAGACACAAAACAACACAAATAGACAAAACAAACTTTAATATTATAAAATGAAAGACTTACAAACTTTGACTCAAACGACTCTTACAAGACACCCTAAAATTGCTTCACTTGAGAAGAGGGATACAGGTGGAGTGGCACTTGCAGAGAGACGAAAGAGGTTAGAAGCCCGAGAAGAAAGGGTGGAAAGAGCCCATAGGATTTCCGGAGGGGATGAGAAAGAAGGGTGGAAAGAGCCCACAGGATTTCCAAGCAAAAGCAAACCCGCAGGTTAACACTTTTCCAAAAATAACATTTCATTCAACTTCACTTACTTCAAACATTACAAATCATCTCATATATATAGGTATGAGAAGAGAATATGAAAAGACACCTTACATAAATATAACATATAAAACTAAGCATTAAAAAGCATAGGAATCTTCCCCCCATGCTCACGGAAATCAGCCCAATCCAAGAACCGAAGCAGCCACCGTGGGAAACAAGGAGGCCGAGCGGAACCGAGGAGCCACGGCCATGGGAAACACCCCGGCTCGGAAGACCAGCAGCCGGCCGGAATCCCAAGGGGCAAAAGCACTTAAAAAAATTAAAAACAATGGTGGAAACCAAAGAGCCACCATGGGAAAAGCAAACAACTTCTTGGGATTCCAAAAGCCCTTTTTGGAAACCCAAGAGACAACTTTAAGACATTAAAACTATAATAAAAATGCATTAAATAAAAAGTAAGATAATAAATGAACTAAAATATTAGCTAATAATGAGCTAACCCCTAGTTCAATAAATGAACTAAAGACTAGCTCATAAATGAGCTAAAATTCTAGCTCAATTTTTGTTGAGCTAGTAGACTCAAGGGAAGCCAAAAATTTGAATTATTTTGGACTTGTGTTGACCCCCCCTTTGTCTACATCAACAAAGCATGTCCAAGTAGCAATGAGTGTGTCAAATTAGAGAATATTTGTAGGTTCTTAGCTCCTTTCTATGAGATAACTTGCATATTCTCAGGGATAAAATATCCAACATCAAACCTTTATTTCCCCTTGATCCCCATTGCTTTTACTTCCTCTAAATTTGAAGTGTCTAGTGGGCATGTTCCATTCGTTAAAAAAAGATTGAAGCTTCTAAAATAGAGCAATCCCATCATGTGGGGGAGGCATGAAACCAAATTATTAATCTTATTCTGTAGTTGCAAGATATTGTCAATGAAATATACATTCAAACAAATAAAACCATTAGTGTTGATAGAAATTCAAAGATCTGAAGTCAAGCAAACTCTACTAGTACATCTAATCAAGGTTGATTGAATGTTGACTTTCTTTCAAATGTATATCGTCTTACAATCAAATCTAGTTGTGTTTCAAGACACTACCTGTAGGTCTGGGATGAGATAATGAATTAATGCACGTACACCAACCCATTCAACACACTGAAATGATAGATCATACATGAAAATGGTAGCAACGAATAAATCATGAAATTATTAATGGACAAATTTATTGTTGGTTAAGGAAATAGGTGAGCTAGAACTCGACTGCAAAATTAACTGGCCTATATCATCGGTACTTTTGTTCTTACAAACTTGCAAATGACGTTTTAAGTTGCAAGTCCCTTTCTAATTATTACATTAGTAAGTTGCATCAAATTTTTTGCATTTACATCTTTGTTTAAATTTGTTTTCCATTTTATTATTATTCTTTGTTGGTTATATACAAAATTGTTCTAAATTGCTTTTATGCACATCCCTTCAATAATAGGATTATGATTTCTTTGAGGAAGAAATAATAATGCCTAGCAAATCTTAACTTGAAGTTTACCTAGAAAAGCAAAAAAATGATAGAAAGGTAGAGTTAGATATCTTGCTTTTCTGGAAAGGCAATCAATATATTTTTCTGGGTGTAGCTGCAATAGCCCGTGATGTTCTTTGCATTCATGTTTCAACTGTTGCTTCTAAAAGTGCATTCAGTAATAGTGACAAAGTTCAGTTACATATTTCATTTGCATCATCATGCATTTAATAACATTCTAGAACTCTATTGAGGAAAAAAAAGTATACTATAAAATTCTTTGTTTGGGCCCAAGATAAATATCTCTATTTTAGATTATTTTGCTCGGTTCTAGCTCTGATTTGACTCTATATTTTATATTCCGCTCTAATTTGGTTCTACTCTACGTCTGTCTTTAGCAAATCGGTGGTGGAATTTGGGAGTTATAAGTGTTGGAATGATGTGCGTTTTCATGAGCATGAAGGTGGCGAGGTCAAGCGGCGGTAGCATCAACGAAGCAAGACACAATGAAGGCATTTCCTTAGCAATAGAGGACATGGTACCTTGTGAAAGTTGGAGAGACAAAGGTCTCATGCTGGGTGGGTGGTGGGTGTTGATGATGATTTCAAGCTCAAGTAACTGAGAAATATGAATAGGAGATGAGAGAAAATTGGTAGTGAGGATCATGAGGATACAAGGGAACTATAGAGTTGTAGGATGAGACTGATGTGCTCTAATACCAAGATGATGTAGATGAAGAAAAAAAAAAAAGAAGAGTGCGAAGAAGGCTTAAGGCTAGGGTTGGAGAGGAAACAATTTCAATTCATTACAATCATCAATCATGAAACCCTGGGGTTCAAAGGATCCATATATAGAGGGCCTTGCATTATCACAGAAAAGTCCAAAGAAAACTAGGAAATTCCTCATACAATGAGAAATTGCAAATACCATCTAAATCTAATTATGCTGAAATAAATACAATATAATGCCTTATACATTTGTCAAGCAACTACTAAGCACATCTGCAGGATTCAGTAGATTGAATAACAAGTACATAAAGCATATTATACATGTTTCTAAGAGAAAAAATCATGTACCAAAGAATACAAGCTAGCTAAGAAAACTATGCAGTCAATACAAAATAATAAAGTCATGGCTTCCCAGCAGAGATGGCTAACAAGGTCATTACCTAATCTCAAGATCCCCGGTCTGGTAAAGTAAAATTAGGCCACAAGACTTCTCATTCCTTTTCCTAAAAATTGTTGACCAGCAACAATGTTTTGCCAGTTTTATTTTGCGACAGGAGTGGCTCTCTCCCTGTCAAAAAATTAAGAAAAATGTCAAGACCAAAAGTTGAAATGGGTTGAGATCCGTCTAACTATCATTCATGAATTCAGCGTGCATAGATACCTGTAGCACAGATTTCACGGAATACAATCGTAGTGAATTTTCATAACAGAGTAAAAGAAGCGGATCCAATAAAAGATCTGAAGAGTTTGAAGCATCGCTGGAATGCTGCTCAATTCCTTGTTTTCTGTTATTGCTGGAATCATAATTTTTTGAATCACTTTTGGATAAATAATCATCTAAAACTTGTTGCCTCTCATCAAGTATTTCAGAGACAGTCGTACTATCTGATTTGAGAATATATCATGTGTCAAATTTCTTCGACAACCAAAATATGCATTGCTACCATTCTGTTCTAAAGTAATTACTTGCCTATAACATACATGGAAATTGCTGCAGACTCCTTTTTTGTGGGCTTTGACATCGAATTTAATGTATTGCCGCTAATGCTGTCAACAACAATAACATGACCATTCTTTGTTAAAATAAACATTAGCAACTCTGAAGATTCTTTAAGATCTTCAGGTCTTGGATGCTTTGGACTGCTTATCATGGTGTTGACGAGTGGATTCAATTCCATTGCAATAGATATGACCTGAGAACTTGTGCTAGATAAACAATCTGTTTGGAATAAAGTTGCATAAGAAGTCAGATCCAGCATTGCAACCTGGAAATGACCAAGATCATTCAATAATTTAACAACAAAATTTCTCTCATACTAAAATAAAATAAACAAATAAATACTTGAGTGAGGTGCATGTGTGGAATGGATAGGAGGGCAAAAAACAGAACACACAACACAGAATATTCTACCTTGCCACTTTCAAATCCAACAGCTAATTTGTCACCACAATTTGCAAATTGCAGAGTTCGAATGGGTGAACTTAGAGTGAACACAGCAGTACAATGAAATCCTTCTCCTTGGCGCACAGGGTGAACTATGAAAAACATGACAACAATATGTCGAGCAGCACAATATATTGAGATATAGCAAATATCAAAGCAATATTTCTGCACTAGTCGAGAAAAAAACCAACAGACCAGTTTGACAAACATTTTCATAAACTTTAGGTGGTAGGTGAGCAACGGTGAAAGAGGAGCGTTTCTTTTCAAGTCTAATAGACACAACAAGCCAATTTGCATAGAAAATAGTTTAAATTGTAAGTTTACATAATCTCAACCTTAAGATCTTATTTAAGTTTACTCAAGTAAATTTTAAGTGGTACAGAGGTCACAAATCCTGAGATGTACAGGCTTATGCAGGTCCTTTAATTAATTAGGTGCACATTGCGTACGTGATGGATTGAACCAATGTTATAGTAGGATGATTTGGTACAAAACTCAACTTACATTTGATCCATGAATGAATAGTCAATAAATTAGAAGAAAAGGCCTGAATGCAATACTAAGATCATGTTTTCAAGACAACCGTTTAACGAGATCAAAAAATCCTAATTTGGAAAAAAGCAAATACCATTGACTACTTGAACAACAAACAAAGTAGCAAACTTCAGCAATGTTTTCCTGTTTAATACAGTAATTTCGAATGAGAAATGCTGATAACTCTGCACCATTTTTCTCTAAGGGGCTATTTTGTTTGAAGTATTTTGAGTGTAGAGTAGAAGAAATATAAGGATTTTAAAATTTTAGGTGTTTGACTAGATGAAAATCAAATTCAATATATTTTGTTGATGCATTTAAAATTTGACTTTAGCTCATTTTGAGTGTATTAGAGTTCACCCTAATCTACCGGATTTCAAATGCCCCACCTTCCTGAGCCTAGCTGCAACCATCTTGGCAAGCCTCATGCCATACCATATTCCATTCCTAGCTCTGTGACTCTGCCTCCGCCTCCACAATGTTCACCTTCTACCTGTGTGTCTCTGCAACCATCTCCAGTGACCTCCGCCTCTATAATGTTCAGCCTCCTCCTCTACAATGAGCAACCTCCCGCTTCTTAAGGAGTTGAGAGACTATAATCATTGACCGTGGTAAACCCGATCAAGATCCCATGGTTCCGTCGTCCTGGGTATACCGTAGATTTCAGTCTACCAACACTAATAATCATTGACCGTGGTGTCCAGGGAATCTGATTAGCAGCCATGGGTTGCCTCCTCTCAAGGATCCCGAGTAGACTGAAGTGGTTAGATTTAGGTTTTAATTTGATTAGGCGTTTTGAGGTTTACATCTATTAGAATACCCAAAGATTTATTTAATTTGGGATTTATAACTTCATTTAGAAGTAACTCAGGAATTTAGTTCAGAGCGGGCTTATGGCTTCTTTAGGAAGTAGCCCGGATATTTAGATTTGGTTTGGGACTTATGGCTTTCATAGAAAGTAGCCCGAGGATTTAATTTGGAATAGGGCTTATTGCTCTATTTATGAGTTGCCCAAGAATGGGTCTTACAACCTAACTCTACAGCGAGGTTGCCCGAAGGTTTTAATTATTTGGATAGGACTTATGGATTCCCTTAGGAAGTAGCCTAAAAAAAAAGCGGGTCTTACAACTTAATCATTTTTTTTTGGACTAAGATGCCCATAGGTTTAAATTTGATTATTTGGATTTTAGGGTCATTACCATTTATTTAGCAATTTTTCTAAAACGTGGGTCTTACGACTTCACTTAAAAGTAGCCCGGATATTTAGATTTTGGTTGGGACTTACATATTATGTAGAAAATAGCCCGAATTAGTGGGACTTACGACCTCTACTGAAGTTAGCCCAAATATTTCAATTGGGCAGGTCTTATTACTTCCTTATAAGTTGCCTAATGATGGGTCTTATGACCTAGCACTTTAAACTAAGTGCCCAAGTTGTGGGTCTTACAACCAAGTCCTATAGACTAGGATGCCCAAGTGCGGAGTCTAGGGTTGTATCATCAAACATTTCCCTCAGAGGTAGGACTTACGACTTCTATTAGAAGTGGTCAAGGGTTTTAATTGGGGGTTAGGAGTTAGGTGAATTTTTACCTAAAATTTTCTCCTAAGGTCGGGCTTACGACATTCCTACGAAAGTTGTCAGGTAGTGGGTCTTACAACCAAGTTCTTATAAACAAGGCTGTCCATAGAATTTTGAATTTGATTATTTTGAGATTTGTTCTGAACTTGTTTGAGTTTGCTGAGTTTGTAATTTTGACACTTCAAAGCTTTGACACTGGGTCAGTGTTTTGGTTGTTCTATTTTGTGCTCGTAGCTTATTTCTACTACAGTAGTCTACTACCCTACCCGTCTTTTAACACTGTTGCTCTACTAGCTTTTTTCGTACTTAGCTTCTTTCTTGCTTTCCAGTACTTCATTCAAAATGTCGTAGCTTTTATTTCTCAGCATTTATTCAATTTATTTATGATGTACTGACTCCTTATTTGTTTGTTTATAGGTGTTTGTAGCCAGTGGTCTCAGTGGATAGAATCCACAAGTAGTTGTAGGAGCTCGTATAAGAGAACTTGCAGAGGAGTTCAGTTTGAGAGTTTTGGAAATTTTGAGAGTCAATGTTGTACATATCATTTAATGGAAACTTTCCTCCCCCTTTCCTTTTATTTATTGTATTTTTATTTTAAAATTGCTCCATTTGATTTAGTTAAAAATGCTTTCAAATTTTAACTAAAAATTTAAAATTGCTTTTATATTTAAATTTGCTTTAGATTTTTAAAACAATCGGGTTTACAAAAGCCCTCCTATTTTAAAACTCTCAAATTTTCTTTTTAATGCTCTCGAATAACTAATTTAAATGAATTTGACAATCAATTGATTTAAATTAAGAAATTTTAATTAGTTTTAATTTAATTAGTTTCAATCAATTAATTAATTTTTAATTGAAAATAACTAATTAAAATTCATTCATTTCTCCCATTATTTCAAAGCAATTTTTTAGGAAATTTAGACAGCCGGGCATCTCCTCCCCACCGAGGGAGAAATCGGGACGGCACTGCCGTAATTTCTTCCTACCCAGATCTAAGGTCAATGGCGTAGGGCCTTCGAATTTAAACCATCTCACCATAATCTAAGATCAACTGTGTGAGGTCTTCAATTTGGAACCATCCCGACCGATCTAAGATACGACAGCCCAGGGTCTTCAAATTTTAAAATCATTTGCTCGGATTAAAATCAACGACGCAGATCTTCAAATTTAAAACCATCCGCCCAGATCTAAGATCAATGGCGTGGGTCTTCGACACCTGTTTGAAAAGCTTTCTTTTTTTATTCTTCTTATTTATTTATTATTATTATTATATATAGTATTATATAAATTATAAAATAATATATTATGACATGGTTATATCATAATATATTATTTTTATGTAATACTATACTTTTAATATACATAAAAAAAATGAAATCGACTCGGGCACAATCAAGTTCGACTAGGGTAATCGTTGAAGGAGCATGTTGGACTTCTGATTCGATAGGTTAAATTGTTGAATGGGCGAAGTCGGATAGCACGAAGGAGCCAAAGAAGAGGCTTGCGCGATCTCTATACCTCTGCGAAGCAATGAAGTCGGGGTAGCCACGAAGGAGCGGAAGTAGCGACCGCGCAATCCCTACACCTCTTGCAGAGCGACGGGATCGGGCGGCGACAAGGAGTCGGAGGCGGGTCGGGCGTGGGAGGCGGAGATGGGCGGAGGTTGGGTCGTCGGGCTAGGCGTTGGCGTCGAAGGCCGAGAAGCAAAGTTGAACGGCAATGAAGGAACAGAAAGGGGCGGCATGTGCAATCTCTTTGCCTGCTGTGAAGCAACGAGACCGAACAGCAATGACGAATAGAGAAGATGAAGTGCGAACCCTAAACGCCTCTGTGAAGCAACGAAGTCCAATAAAAAATGAGCTTAAGTTATTTTTTCCTTTTCTGAATTCCATCCTTTTATCATTTTGAATTACCGATCTCTCCGAAGAGACGCGTTGTCTGGCGAAGTGAGGTCGGTAGAGGCGGTTAATGCTTTGAAAAAAAATTTCTATATTTATTTTTACAGTCAACAATATATTTGAGATTTCCTAAATTCTAAATGCTTGCAAAAAAACAGCCCCTAACTACTTTCATTAATTGATATGGCCAAACTTGTACAAAATTATTGCACCTAAATAATATGCATACTAAAAACGTTAACAGCTCTGATGCTACCTCATCATGCCAGCCTGAATAGAAACGACCAACTACATCTCAAGAGCATGGCACTTCCATAGGCATGCCACAATGGTGAACCAAAATTGCATCAAGGACAATAAGTTATCAATCGTAAAGAGTTAAATTGCCCAGCCAGACGTCATAAGCATAATAAGAAGGCTAAACCATTTGAACATGCCAAATTCAACAGCATTAGCCAATCATATCTCCAAGCATAGCATATTCTACACCTACTTCCATTTGCTATATGAACATCTCAATCTCAAAGAGACCAACAATAGTTCAACCTGTATTTAAGTTGGTTGTGGCATGCACAAATACACAAATTTGAAAGTTCATTTTTAGGCAGGATATTAGTTTAAAAAACAATCAAGTTCTGGGTGGCATATAAATAATTTATTAGCTGATAAAAATAGCATCACCTGATTAGGCATTGAATGGTTGATGCATATAATTAGTGAAGTTTGTAGATTGTGCAGGATATAGGCGACTTCTACAGTTCAGTATAAAGCAAAGATGGAGTTTGGTATCACCAGTGTTGGAGAGACTTGGTAATCCTTGTTCAAGTGGAAGGACTGTGAGGATTCGAGTTGAGAGATAAGAATGTCCTGAAGAAGACCTTACCTGAGCAACCAACACCCCCATGTACCAAGATATCTGCTCAACCTACAATATTCACGACACACCACTAGCTCTCCTTTTCTAATTGTTCCGTCATATTCACATTGTTTCAATGTCATGCACCAAATCTTGCACTGAAAACAAAACAATCTTATCAACGCCCATGAAAAATGAGACAATAGAGCACCAAAGGAAACACCA